GTGCTTTCCTTTGTGGACATCCACTGCAAACAGGAAATGCCACAGCACCAAACTCTGACCTCAGAACAATGTGATACAAAAAACTAAACCAAGAGAGGGTTTTTTAAAAAAAAGATCTGCAGACCCATGGGGGAAAATCAATACGATGTGCAATTGGATGAATGTCATCTAGATGTCTAACAAATTTCCATTATGATCAGTGCTTAATGGGGAGCTTAAAAGGATAAAGATGCCTTGGCTAGAAGAGCCCTGAGTTACTGCTGTGAATGTTGCTCTATTAGGTCACAGGGAAAAAGACAGGTTCCATAATCAGAGAAACTACTACTATGACTACATCAAGTACTGTAGGCATCCTTCAGTCTTGAAAGCATGCTCTGAATAGAGGTCTTGGAACAGCATCTAGTGTGGCTGAGAAAGCCAATTCGAGAGTGACAATCCCTTCCACACTGAAGACAAATACAATCTGTGCCCTGTCCAGCTCCCTGATTTTGCTGGTTTCAGGACTGCCTCTTTGCCTCAGCCCGCTGGACAAGGGTCTCTTCAAATTAGGAGAGGCAATGTTATACCGCCTGCCTCCAGGCTGAATGCTCAGATGTCAAGGTTTCCCATCTGTTCAGGTCCATTCCTAAGACCTTCAGATCCTACTTGCAGATATCCTTGTATCACAGCTGTGGTCTCCCTCTGGGGAGATGTCCCTGCACTAATTTTCCATACAGGAGATCTTTTGGAATCCGACCATCAGCTATTCTCACAACATGCCCAAGCCAACATAGACGGTGCTGTTTCAGTAATGCATACATGCTAAAAAATTCCAGCTCATTCTAGGACTACTCTATTTGGAACCAGGTGGTACCAAAAATGTATTGGAGGCAACGCATATGGAATGTGTTCAGCTTCCTCTCCTGCTGTGCACAAAGGGTCCAGGAGTGACTGCAATACTCTACAGGAGTGTGCTCAGGACACAGGCTCTATAGACCTGGATCTTGGTATATGTCATCAGCTTCTTATTGAGCCATGCTCTCTTTGCTTTCCCAATGTGTTTATCTAGCTGAACATCTAGAGAGAGAGTGTCAGAGATTATTGAGCCAAGGTACATGAAATCATGAGCAACCTCCAGTTCTTGTGTAGAGATGGTAATAGAGGGAGGTGAGTCCATGCCTTGGCCCATGACTTGTGTTTTCTTTAGGCTGATTGTTAATCCAAAATTCTGGCACGCCTTACTAAGAAAGTTCATAAGTTGTTAGAGCTCTTCAGCAGAATGGGCAACAACAGCTGCATCATCAGCGAAGAGTAAGTCCCTCATTTCAGTTGGACTTTGGACTTCGCTCTCAATCTAGAGACATTAAAGAGCTTTCTGTCTGATCTAGTCTGGAGATAGAAACCTTCTGTTGCAGTTCCAAAGGCATGCTTCAGCATGACAGCAAAAAAGATCCCGAGCAGAGTTGGCACGAGGACACAGCCCTGTTTCACTCTGCTTCAGTTGTCAAAGGGATCTGATGTTGAGCCATCAAAAACTTCAGTGCCCTTAATTTCCTCATGAAAGGACCTGATGATGTTAAGGAGTCGAGGTGGACATCCAGTCTTGGGAAGTATTTTAAAAATGTCGTCCCTGCTAACCAAATCAAAGGCCTTTGTAAGATCTATGAAGGCCACAAAGAGTGGCTCTCGTTGTTCCCTACATTTCTCCTGCAACTGTCTGAGGGAAAATACCATGTCACTGGTGGTATTAGCTCAAAACCTATATTGTGATTCTGGATAGACTCTGTCTGCAAGCACCTGGAGCAACACAGGCAAACAGCTTCCCTACAACACTGAGATGCCACAGTAGTTATTGCAGTTGCCCCTATCACCTTTGTTCTTGTACAATGTGACGATGTTTGCATCCTTCATGTCCTGCAGTACTCCACCTTCCCTCCAGCAAAGATGAAAGATTTCATACAGCTCAGTGGTGATCTCTTTACAGCATTTCAACAGGGATGCTATCCTTCCCAGATGCCTTGCCGGAGGTGAGGGAACCCAAGGCTGCTTTTATTTCTGCTGAAGTTGGTTCGCTGTCCAACTCTTCCAAGACAGGCAGGCACCTGATGTTATTTAATGTTTCATCGGTTACTACATTCTCTCTGGAATATAGCTCAGAGTAGTGCTGCACTCAGCGTTCCATCTGCTGTGCTCGGTCCTGGATGATCACGCCTGTAGCAGACTTCAAAGGAGCAGATTTCTTCTGTATTGGACCTAAAGCCTGCTTGATACTGTCATACATATTCCCATGATGTTACCTGTGTCCGCTGCTGTCTGTATCTGAGAGCAGAGCTGAAGCCAATACTCATTAGAGCATCTCCTGGCAGTCTGTTGGACTTTGCTATGAGCAACTCGAAGAATCTGCAAGTTGTACTCACTAGGACAGGCTTTGTATGCTGCTAGAGCTCTCCTCTTATCCTCGATGGCTGGCATCAACTCCTCCGAATGGGCTTAAAACCAGTCTGCCATCTTTTTGGTCTTTTTGCCAAATGTGGACAAGGCAGTGTTATAAACAGCATTCTTGAAATGTTCCCATCGTTCAGATGCATTTGCAACAGCCGGGCCTGGAAGAGTTTCCTCAAGCGCTTGGGCAAATTCCTCCACTTTTCTTTGATTGTGAGTCTTGCTGATGTCAATACATGAGTTACACAGATATCCAATATTTTCCCTAGTACACACCTCCTCCGCTTCCCCCTTTTTATCCTCATTATTGTTCTGTAACGTAGGTCAAGGTGTGAGAGAGTAACTGGTCCAAGGTCACCCAGTCAATTTCATGGCTTGGTGGGGAAGCGAACCTGGACCACTTCAATTCAGGAACTAACCACTGGATAACACTAGCTTTCCAAGAGTCCAGAGAGAAGTGTGAGGAGAAGATACAGAGCCACTTTCTCTTGGTCTCAGAATGCTCCCAAAAGGGAGTGCCATCCTCCTCAACAGTTCTTCCTGTGTTCTGTTTTTGAAGTGTCATATCCATTTCTTTAAGTTTCCTTCCTTGCACTTTACTTTTTCTTCTTCTTACTGTATCTATTGGTGGATGCAAATCAGAAATGCCTGGCATACGCATTTGAGAAATGATGTTCTAAAAGGAGCTTGTGATAGTTATGGCTCTCTGTATATTCTGGGATTAAATATATGCTACCCAGTTTTGGTATTAAGCTGCTTGCTTCTAGACAAGCAGCTCCTTAATCTACTAAGATTGCTCTATTTGCTTTTCGGGTGTTAATCTATGTGTAGCATTTATTGCAACCAGTCTTCCATATTAATGGACATATTACATTTTTTTCTATGTACACCATCAGCTATATTCTATACGCATTGGCTGTCACTATTTTCAAGGCTGTACTTGTAGTCTCCAGCACCCTGACCACTTGGAGTGCCTCTCTAGACCTAAGGTGGGTGGAAGCTTCTTGGGAACAGAACGAACTGGTTGCTCCTAAATCCAGGTCTGAATTGATGTATGCCTTTCCTAATAATAACACCTTACCCATCAACATGTGTGCATCTGTTTCAACCTACTTTCCTGTTTGCAAAATAAGCAAAAAGATAAATATACACAAATGTGTTTCTTCTACGCAAGAGATTTAGGCTACATGAGCCAGCTGTATCTGGTGCAGAATGTAAGTTCCTCTGCTGCTCACTCCTTTTTTTTTTTAAATTAGGACAAACCTCCCAGGTATAGAAAAGGCCTATATGGGAGACAAATATGACACAGGTAGCAGCCTCTTAGCCTAGAACAGAGGGGGGCAATGTATGACCCTACAGATGTTGATAGACACTGCAACTTCTGCCCATCTTAGATACTAAAACTACAGTGATTTAGTGCACAGAAATATGGTGGCAGCTTGTGATTGGTGGGGCAGAAGTGGGTACTTATACCTGCAAACAGAGAAGCAGGCAAGTATTCACACATACACAGAATTTCTGCCACTGGTAAGGAGGTAGGCAGGGGTGGGGTGTTGGTGGTAGCCTGTGCTGTGGCAGCATTTCAGATTCAGGAATACAAGAATGAAAACAATAATTCTTGAGCACCCCTGTATGCTTAAATTGTAATAATAAAAAACAACAGCAACAGAAGCAACAGCTGCAAAGATAACATAAGCGAAGCACTGACAGAAAATTTTGGCATTTGGGGAATAAAGTACATTTGACAGAGTGGCAAACGTACATACTTTTCTTCCTAAAATATTGCAACGAGAAAGTTCAATTCATAAAGCAAAAGCAAAGCGTGCTGCTTATATACCGCCCCATAACGCTTCAAGCACTCTCTGGGCGGTTTACAAGGTCATTATGCAGGCTACACATTGCCCCTCCCCCAGTGAGCTGGGTGCTCATTTTACGGACCTCAGAAGGATAGAGGACCGAGTCAACCTTGAGCCAGCTACCTGGGATTGAACCCCGGGTCGTGACCACAGTTTTAGCTGCAGTACAGCAGTTTAAACACTGTGCACAATTCATTAAAGTATTATCTTCAATTGTTTTAGATGATAAATCCAGCCCATAGACCTCAGCAGAAAAATAGAATTGGGTGTAGATTCTGGTCTGACATTTACAATCCTAAGCAATTCCAGTGAATTCGTTGTCTATTAGAGATGAGTGGAGGATGGGAGGAAGAAGAAGCATCCGGAAGCTACAGTGGACCCTTGACTTACAGACGGCATGACTTACAGACTTTTTGAGTTACAAACTTCTCTGGTCGCAAAATTTAGGTTTGACTTGCAGACTGAGATTTGACTTACAGACCAGAAAAAAACCAAAATGGAACAAAAACGGCCTGTTACGGGATTAATCGGTTTTCAATGCACTGTAGGTCAATGGAGACTTGACTTACAGACTTTTTGACTTGAGAACCGCCTTCCAATACGGATTAAGTTCTCAAGTCAAGACCCCACTGTATTTGGAAAAGTAGGGGAGAGTCATGAAAACATCCATTGGCCAGTCAAATGCATAATGATAAGAGGAAGAGGCCTGAGGGCCATTCTTACCCAGCACGTAGATCTTTGTGGCCCGCAGGAAGGAGGTGGCAGCATACCTGGGTGTAGGCATGGTTGCCAATGATACCCAAATGTCCTTTAGCATGTCATAATGCTGCATATAATTGTGAGGGCGCAAGTCTGCTCCCATTCCCCCTGCTGCATAGATTCTGTAGTCTGGAAAATACAGTACAGTAAGTCAGAAAAGAGAGAAAAGTCCAAATGTGAAATTAGCTCCTGGTTTATCCCTGTTTTATTTCAGAAGCTTTTGAAGAGGTCCTCTCTCTCTTTCTGATGGGTTAATAGTACGTACTCCAAACACATATAGGACCCTCATTGCCCCCATTCTAGAGCAAAACAATAATCAAAAGGGAAAAATAATGTGATCAGAATAGGTAATAGAGCCCTGTGTCTGTCAGGATAAAAATGATCCTATGTTGCCCCATAGGAAACTGAAATCTGAGACTTTATTCCACCTCCAAACAGAAACTAAATACGTATTCCTGAGATTTGGCTGAAAATGTGGAAAGGTGAAGGCATCTTCTCTTACAGAAAACTGCAGTATATATAACGTAAATCATGGTGGGTGTTCTTGTTGGTAAAAGTAACCAGATCATTGTGTGTAAACTTCAAATCATATAAAGGTCTGGAGACAGGAAGATTGTTAATATGCCTTTTATAACCATCACTGCTTATTGAAGGTGTTTATTCAATCTTAGCAGAGCTTGGAAAACTTTCTTTTTTGGATGACAGCTCCCAAATTTGCCAGGAAAAAAACCTTTTGTGTTCTCTGTATCTTGGCCTATATTTCCAAATATTCATCCTCCTCCTCATTTGTCATCAAGTCAATTCTGACTTATGGTGATCCCTTTCAGAGTTTTCCAGGTAGAGAGTACTCAGAAGTGGTTCACCATTCCCTTCTTCTAGAGTGCCCTGGGACTGTGCAGCTTGCCCAAGGCCACACAGGCTGTTGCTTCTGGCTGGATAGCTCAGTGGGGAATCGAACTTCCAGCCTCTGGCTTAGCAACAAAATGCCTAAACCACTGACCTATCCAGCCATCTATAGTCCCTAATGATATCTTATATGGAATGATATCAAGAGAGTTTGATTTCTCTGAGTGTGGGGGTTGCTAAGAGAATTACAATAACAGTATACGAAGGGTACATACGATCCATCTGAAATGGTGCGGGGGTTCAAAAATAGCTTGTCAAGAAAAGCACAGAGATGCAGTTGTGGTGAGGAGGCAGTGTGATGGTTTATGTATACTTTTTCTCAGCAGTGACCTTAGCTTTCACACGTCTTGTGACCTCTTCTGGCAAAGCCCTTCAAGCAGTCCCAGGAGCTAGAAAGCTCTGATAGACTTGTCCTTTAAGAACTATAAAAGGCATTCTGCAAACAAAACAGCCTGTCCTATATTTGGCAGGACTACAGAACAGTGTCTGGCTGTTGTTGCTTTTTTACAAGCAGAGAGGAGGTCACTGAAACAGACGGTGCTCTCCAATTACAAGGCAGACTTCACAGCCAGTTCTAGACCAGGCTGTCGAAAATCACTTGACGTTACCCAGAGCAATTCCAAGGTGGTTATTCCAACTCCTCAGGCACAAGGACCAAAGCCAGAACATATTCACAGGTAGTAAAATTTGGCTAATAGGCCCTCACTGACTAGATCTTTTTCTGAGTAAGAAGAAATACATTTAAGTCCTCCAATTGCATGACTTAGAAGAAACACACTGAGGAGAATTCTTAAAAGCAAACATTACATTGGCAACAGATACTTTAGTAAAAACATTGCTCTTGCCTTTCACTGTTACAGAGATCCCCATTGAAGCTTCCCTCAAAGAGTTTCTTTTCTTCCACTTGCCCTCATCTATATTGTACATCTCCACAATCTTCAGGGGCATCTGGTTGGCTCCAACACCTCCAATCACCATTATCCTCTTGCCCAGTGTAGCTACAGCCACCCCAGCCCTGGCTGTAGGCATTGGAGGAAGAGAATTCCATTGGTTGGCTTCAGGGGAGTACACCTCAAAACAGTCCATGGGGACGCCATTGTCATCACAACCCCCAATGGCAAAGACCTGACCCCCAGCCTCTACCAAGGAGCAGTATACTCTGGGACTGGGTAGGGGTGCCAGAGTTTTCCACTGAAAGTCTTTGATGCTAGGCACTTCCATCTCAGGAACGAGACAGGCATCTGCTAAACAGCCTGTTTATACTGCAAGAAAAAGAAAAAGAGAGAGAAAAGGAAAGGCAGGGTTGCAAACAATCATTCACACACAAAAAGGTCAATAGCTAGAGAATTTAGCAAGTCATTCACCTCTGTTAACAATAGTCTCCAATAACGATAGCTCACCTCAGCCTTTGCCATGCTAGCACTCTCCAGTTACGTGGGACTGTGATGTCTATTATTCCCAGATGCTATTGTGTTATCAGCAATAGTACATAGGCTGGGAATGACAGAGGTTAAATCTACAAATTTGGAGGGTGCCAGGTTAAGAAAAGCTGTCCTATCAGCTCCACGGATGCTCAAGGTGCTGATAGTTCCTTTTGCTGAGTCTCTGTTAATCCTCTGTGGTTTCATCTGCTAGAATTTGATTGTGCGCAGTAATGATCATAATAAAGATAATAATTTGTTTTAAAAACCAGTTGTACTTACTTCTTTGTTTCTGCATCCTAAACCTGGCATTCAGACGTATCAGTGTTGCTCTTCCTTCTACAGCTTTCTTCTGGGAACTTTGCGTCCCTTAAATTCCTTCTGTCACCATCTTCCCAGACAAGCTACGGCCCAGCTGTCCCATCCCCTGTAAGTTGCCTCTGCCTTTTGGAGCAGAGCAGAGCTGTGAATGCATTAGAGAACAGCCTGTTAGTTACAAACACAGTCCTCCTAACAGCTGACAAGTATGTAGATGAGAAGAATAGATGCAGAGAAATGGAGAGCTGCACTGAGCAGAGAGCAGTAATTGCTGTGCATTCTCCAAATGAACAGATCCAGACATATTTCATCACAGCACCAAGATTTATTAGTCTTCATTTTTAAAAAGGTCACACTTGCCTAACAGAAGTGTTTTATTTGCTTCTTTGGCCTCCTGCATGTGCTATAATAGAGACCAAGTTCTAATTTAACTATCGTCTCACACGTTATACCAAAAGAGACATCTTGCACATATAATACTATACAATGGCACCATAAAATGCAAATACTCTTTTTTTACTACATTATTGTTACCAGCTTATTTAGCATCTACTGCAGCAGGATTACAAAGTGTGTGGCAGTTGGCCTGTACTATGCCCACTGGGGCTATTTTAACATTACTCTCCTTGTGTGCAATATCAGCAGGAATACAAGTTTTCCCATAGCCTGTATGTGTAGAAAATAACATTAGGTTTGGCCTAAATGCTTGTGGTACATGAGGAAAAGCTGTGGTGCTCACCAACATTAAAAGCCCATCCAAAATCAATTTGGAAGGCAACAGAAATAGTTCCTGCCTGCTGCAATAGGCCCCAAAGACCACTGGAACCAATTTAATTCATTTATGTTTTAGGTTTGCAATTTAATTATATTTTATTCAGTTTTATTGTCAGCTGCCTTGAGTCCCATTCTGGGATGAAAGACAGGATATAAATCCATTCTTTTGAAAGAAACAAGGAAAAAGCACAGGCTTCTGCTTTTACAGTTACTGGGGGTGGTTGGGAGAGAAATAACCTAAAGTTTAATTTGTCCTTGGCGAGCTTTTAAACAGCCAATAGGCAATATTTCAAGAGTTACTTCGGTTTTACAGCTTATTACGATTCTTGGGTGCAAGCAGACAACCTCTGGGTATAAATAGGTATCACAAGAGTGAGGAATGTTGCCTAGCAACTGGAACTAAAGCACTGTCCCTTTAACCTGATCTTTTTGTATACAAGTAATTTAGTTTCTGGCTGCAGTCACACCAGCGAAATGTCCCCTGTGGTTATGTGACTTTTAATTGTGTTTCTGTAATGTTTTGCGATCACGTGGCATTTACTCCAAGATGTGCGTCCTAATGTGTTTATGGGTTACCAAGTCATTTCCTTCCAATTCAATAAATGCCTAGATCTTCTTGTTCACACCATCTGACTGAAGTTAACCCATGCATCAACAGAAATGACGCAGAAAAATAAAATAAAACATTAAAATATTTTAAAAGTGCATGCACGGTGACAGTATTTGAGAAAAAGTTGCAATAAGACTGTTCACACACACAGCTACAGAACATTTTTTTTAAAAGACCTGCAACAAAAAAAGTAAAAGTCTCTGGGCAAGTGTGAGATGATCTGCGGACTGGAAGATAACATTTGCCTTGGGTGATGATGACCTTTCTGTCTCTCTATAAGTTGATTCTTTTAGATGAACAGCAACAGATCAACACAGTGCAAAGTCAGAGATAAGATGGCAGTAGCATGGAGCTGTGGCATCATCACTTCACACATAGAGGTACAAAAGCAATTCTGGAGATGCAAAATAAAAAAAACTTGCTACAGGTAACAAGATAAAGCTTCCAGTAAAAAGCTGTAAAGGAATGGATAGAAGCACTGCACAAGAATGAAAGATGGACTGACTAAGCTGTCACCAGACAAGAAAGCCATCGGATGCAAGTGGATATTCAAGCTGAAACATGGTGCAATGGAGAAGTGGAAGGCAAGACTAGTTACAAAAGAGTTCCTACAAAAATATGGGGAAACTTTGATGAAACCTTTGCTCCTGTTGTCAAGAGCACAGCACAATATGAACGTTGCTGCATGTGGCAGCCTCCAGAACGATACAAGTCAAGCACCTAGATGTCAAGACTGCATTTAACATTGAGAGATTGCAGAGGAGCTGTATATGGAGCAGCAACCAGAAGCATCCTGATTTTGTATCAGAACTAAAGAAAGGCCTGTATGGACTGAAGCAAGCTGATTGGGCCTGGAATGAGAAACTGGAGAAAATTCTACTGCAACAAGGCTTCAAGCAAAAGTTTGAATTTATTGCTGCAGCTGAAGCATGCAGAAAACTGCTACGGTTAGAGAACCTGCTGAATGATTTTGGGATCAAGGAAGAGACGCTGATCCAGGTGATGGAAGACAACTAGAAGTGCTTCAAGCTGTTGCAAAGTGAAAAAGACGAAGGCACACTCCAAACACATCAGCATGAGATGCCGCTTTGTCACAAGACTGATAAAAGTGTCATATAGATGGTTACTGTCCCATCGCAGAGATAACAGTGGACAGCTCCTTCTAGAGACTGCCTCCAGAACTTGTGTAGTGAGATGGGTCTTCAAGAGGGTGGCTGCTTGTGAGTTTGAGAATGGGTATTGGAGTTTTTCAGTTTCACCTTCTACCTTTAAGTTTGGCTGCGAAGCCCCTTTCTGGGCTGGGGTGTCTATCAATCTCTATCCAGCGCTAACCGATACTTCCTTCCCTGCCTCTCTGATATAAAAGAGAGCCACACCTCTCTGCTAAGAGCCTTAGCCCCCCAGCCCAGTCTATTAGAGTCAGTCAGTCCGTTGTAATCATTGAGTCTGATGAGGCCTGTTGTCACAAGTAATCACATTTGTTCTGCTTGATCTTTTCAATTGCAAGTAAATGAAACATGTTTATTCTTTCTGCTGATGCTAATTCTGCTCTGTGCCCTGCACTTCTGCTCTTCAGCTAGAGGGATCAAACCAAAAATTCAAGACTATGTAATATAATATAAAGAAGATGCAGATTGGCTGGTGAGGTCATCAGAGGAAGATACCCAGGAGAGGGAAAAGGTTAGGTAAAGCACTGAAGGAACAAAAGGTAAGGAAGAACAAAGCTTTTGCCTGCAGTGGTGATTGTATTTGAAATGGTCGTTAAGTACATTCATTCCTGTTGCTGAGGCAGATACAATTGTTTTGAATGAACCCACTGAGAAAAGGACAGGAGTACTTTATTTTATTTTATTTATTGGACTTATAGACCGCCCCATAGCGCTACAAGCACTCTCCGGGCGGTTTACAATTTTTTAATTATACAGGCTACACATTGCCTCCCCAGCAAGCTGGGTACTCATTTTACCGACCTCGGAAGGATGGAAGGCTGAGTCAATCTTGAGCCGGCTACCTGGGATTTGAACCCCAGGTCGTGAGCACAGTTTTAGCTGCAGTACAGCGTTTTAACCACTGCGCCACGAGGCACTTCTGTCTTAGCAGCTGCAGATGTTGCTTCTTACAAATGGAACACATGGCATTACTGAAAATTAACTTCCATATAAGATTTAAAGAAGGAAGACAGTTCTGTTCTCTAGTAATATTTATTTGTAAGATACTGACAAGTACATATTGGTGTTTTAAAACCTAGAGAATATTTGTAGTACTCTAAGTGGACCCATTGTTATTGTTCTTGTCACTGCCATCCATTATTATTTGGTTCTGATTTATATCTCATTAATACCATTTAGTTCAATTATAATTCAATTATTAATCTGCCTCTTCTCAGAGAAGGGAAGGCTGCTCACAAAAACAAGTGCATTATAAAATGCTCTCTACTGATTATTGTTTTTTCACTTAAAACAGACATCATATGGTATTATTTGCCACCACATCTCTGGCAATCACAAGGTAAAAGAAATGGTATTATATTTCCTTACAAAACAGAGGGTTTTTAAAATAAACCCCAGAAAAGATCACATAGAGATATATATTGGTGACCTCTCAGCTGTTATTCTCTAGCAACAAATAAATACAATCAAAGCTCTTAGCTGTGGAGAGTCTTCACGTCCCTGGGCACATTTTCAGTTCACAGCAAGTGACAAGGAATTGAAAATGGTACCATAAGGGCAAGAGCAAGCAATGTATTATCAAATGCAAAATCAGTTGGAAATCAGATTCTTCTAGACATATTCCCAAATGACCCTGGTTCAATTCAGATGCTTCTTTCAACACGGTAAATCCACCAGACTATGCATGCAACTTTTGAGAGCAAACTAGTCATCACTACTGGCCACCCTGTGAGCTAATACATGATTGCATTGTTGCAGAAACGTGAAATATCATTATCTTCATCACCTGGTAGAACATTAATGACAGCAGATTTCCAGGTGATACAAGCAGTGGGTAAGTAACGGTAGGGTGGCACAACCAGGGCTTTCAATTAGGTATTAGAATTTAAAGGGCACAAGTATTTGTTGCTGGAGGAGTGTGAATAGCCCTCCAGCTCTTTAATTTTATGGAAGGGGTATAGCCAGCTCAGTCCAAGGCATATACTGCCTTTAGCCACTTCTTCCTAGAAAGAAGCAAACACAAAATAGGTGGGCTGATTGTGGACCCAATATGGCTCTAGTATGCTTAGACTGCAGATGGTGACAGCAGCCACGAAATCAAAAGACGTCTGCTTCTTAGGAGGAAAGCTATGACAAACCTAGACAGCATCTTAAAAAGCAGGAACATCACCTTGCCAACAAAGGTCTGCATAGTCAAAGCTGTGGCTTTTCCAGTAGTGATGTATGGAAGTGAGAGCTGGACCATAAAGAAGGCTAACCACCGAAGAATTGATGCTTTTGAATTGTGGTGCTGGAGAGACCCTGGAGAGTCCCCCTAGACTGCAAGGAGAACAAACCTATCCATTTTAAAGGAAATCAACCCTGAGTGCTCACTGGAAGGACAGATCCTGAAGCTGAGGCTTCAATACTTTGGCCATTTCATGAGAAGAGAAGACTCCCTGGAAAAGACCCTGATGTTGAGAAAGTGTGAAGGCAAGAGGAGAAGGGGACGACAGAGGATGAGATGGTTGGACAGTGTCACCGAAGCTACCAACATGAATTTGACCCAACTCTGGGAGGTAGTGGAAGATAGTAGGGCCTGGCATGCTCTGG